CAAGACAAGCAGTACTAGGTCTCTATGAATTGTATGGCTACATTAACAGAATCTTACAATTCAGAAAGTACCTTTCTTGTCCCTTTGTCCCTTGTCCTCCCTCACAAAAACTAGGGAAGGTCTCTTCTGAGTCTCTTTCTTCAACGCTCCTCTTATGGATTCAATTTTTGTTTATTAGATCATTGTCTTGACTGTGGCTTTTCCCTCTGTCTACCAGGATCATTTTCACATACCATTACATTATCAGTTATCAGCTAGAACATATTTTATTGATATAGGAAAGAGTCTGAGTAAGTCAGGGATGTCAAACTGCTTGCCCACGGGCCGGTTGCATCATGCAGAGACCACGCCTACCCCAGCTCCGGCAATGCAAAAAAAGGTTGCGATGCATTGCGACACATCACGTGACGCGGCACGTTTGACACCTGCAGAGGAAGCAATTTATATAACAAAGTTATTTGACATGCAGTATGCCAATTAAATAATAAATAAATGCCTCCCCTTTTCAGTCAGTCCAATTATAGCTAGGGCCAACTGTGTGAGTTAAATAATTGGGGTTCATTTGGGACAGCCTTCTCCCATATAAATCTTGATTCCCTCTGAGCTAGGGTTACTAGATATCTGAACAGGCAAAGGGGGAAACAGACAATTGGAAATGAGGGGAAAAGGAGACACACTATCTGTATACGGATCTTGGAATCTGTGACAAAAATTAGAGCAAAAAAAGATACATAGGCCTACATATACACAGCATCATGAAGTCTGGTTTTTCAGTCGCAATATTTCTCCAAAAAATATTTATTTTGATGAACATCTGTTAATGATAATATAGAATCGACAATGTGTTCACCAAATTTCAGCACAGAAATGTATGAGGAATCTTGTGATCCACAGACTATAATGATCATAGATTTGAAGGGGTTGTATTAAAGCTGACTGATGGAATCAGAAAATAAATAATGTAAATCTAGATAGTTAAATCTGTCAATGTATGAGGGAAAGAAAGAAGCAATTTATAAGGTCACAATACACACAAGTTTGAATGACTACTGTTGTGAAAACAGTCCAGAAAAAAGACACTAAAAGAAACTAGACAATTTTTGAATATCATTCCAAGAGTGCAGCATAGGTTTATTAAGAAAATCATAAAGAAAACCAATAGCTACAGTCAGTATTCAGAAACATCAGAAAAACCCTGGATAAAAATGAAATTCACAGGAATGTAGCAAAGCAGAACCTTTGATGCTTGTCAAAAAGCATTGGTTGGCCCGACAAGCTTCTGGACTAATATTCTACAGGAAGATAAATCATAGGTAGATTTTTTTTTTAGACTGTGTGGGTATCATTGTGTCTGGTAAAACCAAACACTGCATTCCACAGTAAGAGTCTCATACCAAATTTTCAAACCTGGAGATAATCATCTGTGGATGGTTTGCTACCTCAGAATCTGGATGACTTACTGCAGTAGCATTGAAAGAAGTATGAATTCTGCATTTTGTCAAAAAATTCTATAGGAGATTATCAGGCTTTCTGTTCATCAGATGAAGTTGTTGTGCAATTGAGGCATGCTGGAAGAAAGTGAATTCAAACATACAAGCAAGTTTACTAGAGAATAGATGAGTGAAGGGAGAGGGGAATGAATATTTTGTTGAAGCCCAGCATAAATCCCATGAAAATGTTGAGACAAGACCTAAAATGGGCACATCGTACTAGAAAACCTTCAAATGGTAGTGAGTAGAAGCAGTTCGCCATAGAAAAAGTGGGCCAGAAGACCTACACCCAGATGTAAGAGGCTGACTGTCAATTAGAAAAAATGATTGTAGTTACTACAGCTAAAGGTGGTACATTTAGTGAATCTAAGGTGTGATTATCTTTTTTCCACTGGTATATCACATGTGTATGGGTCTCTGGCAAGATGGGTGGCATACATGTTTAATAAATAAAACAAATAAAACATACACGAAACTCTAGTCATTTTATTTGGTAACTTAGATTTTTGTTATATATTGCTAGAATTGGCCTGAAGCCTTAATGGCAGAGACACAGGTAGTTCATTTAGTGACCATTCAAAATTACAACAGCACTGAAAAAAGTGATTTAGGATTGTTTTTTACACTTACGACATTTGCAGGATCTCCTTGGTCACGTGACCAAAATTCAGATGCTTGGCAACTGGTTCATATTTATGACGGCTGCGGTGTCCTAGGGTCATGTGATCTCCTTTTGTGACCTTCTGACAAGCAAAGACAATGCGGAGGCCAAATTTACTTAAAAACAACTGTTATTAACTTAACAACTGCAGTGATTCACTTGACAACTGTAGCAAGAAAGGTTGTAAAATGGGGCAAAATTCACTTAACAAATGTTTCACTTAGCAACAGAAATTTTGGGCTCACCTGTGGTCGTAATTCCAGAGTTGCCCATGTTTAAACATCCAGAAGATTCCAAAGTGGTACATTCTTCACTGAACCATTCATACTTCATTTGGTAGCTTTTCCAACCAGCAACCTTAGTGATCAAAGTGTAAGTGAAAAGGAGAGCTGGCATTAAAAGGGGTTCCTATTTTTTTTTTAAAAGGGGTTGCCTCAACAGCTTCATGCAGTCATAATATCTCAGCCTCATGCTCAGAATTTCAAATATGTACATTGAATAATTATTGGATGTGTGTGTGTGTGTGTGTGTGTGTGTGTGTTTTGCATAGAAATGGAATGATTAGGTGAAAAGTATACAGAAAAGGATGGGGAAGAATTTTTCGCAATGGCAAGTGAGTTGTTACAAAATTATGAGGGAGTATGACCAAATAAGGGGTTGAGAGAAAACATAAATGGAGAAAGGGCACAAAAATAAGTACTGTATTGCAAACAAAAATCAAATCTGCAGTACCTTTCCATACTTTCCAGAACCATTGGATACTTAATTGATGCCAAGTCTGAATACTAACCATGCAACCCAGAAGTCATGATTTAGGCTTTTCTCTGCCACATTTCTTCTAAAAATTAACAAAGCCAAACGTTCCGACTTTCCATCTCTGTCTTTTTAAATCTAGATTAAAATCCCCTTGAAATAATTTGAAAGTCTGGATCAAGACACTATGAGTTCAGATATTTTTGTATGTTTACGAGTTTGTAGAGCTCTGAGAGAACCACCAATCAATCATAATTTGTCTTTTCTGGCCAACAGTAGAGTACAAAGGCCTGTCGGCCAATCTGTGCTCCTTTGCTGGTTGTAATTGAGTACCTTCTTCCATCCTCTTCATGTCTAAACATGCATCTCCTCTCCTCCTTCACAAACATTAAAGAGAATAATTCTTTTCCATTGTTTTTGTATTTGCCATATAATAGCAAACATTTGAACGTTTGAAGCTAATGCTGGCAGTTCTGCATTTTTGTTCCTTTACCAAATCATTCCCACATATTGCTTGGCTGGTGGAATTTGGGATGAGCCAAGCATCCCTTCCTATGAAAGCACAGATGATGTTTTGGACACAACTTAGTGATACATTACATTTTTGAAGTGGCATCCATGGCTTGGAAGCAGCATTTCTCCATCTACAGATACAACAGATACAACATTGCTGGCACAATGATATGTCTGCCTACAATTACAGTTCCCTGATTTCTATGCCATGTGATCAACAGAGGGGTTCATCTCACACAATTGTGGAAACTATCTTGGGAGGACTCCATTTGTAACAAAAAAAAGAACCAGTATTTCTCTATTCCTCTTCCCACAGCTCCCAGAAATCTTTACCCAATTCCATCCTTCATCCAGAGAAATCATTCAGGTGATCTTAGTTTCCTCCATTTACCTTAGTTCCCTGTCTGGTGTAAATACGCCATGACTGGCACATGGGATTTGATGGCTTCTATTTGCATGTTCAAAAATGGTAGAGGACAGGAAGACCTGGAGGAACGTTGTCCATGGGGTCGCGATGGGTCGGACACGACTTCGCAATTAACAACAACAACAACAACAAATTTGCATGTTCAAACATGCCTTTTCCTTCCCGCCCAGCCAGCTCCCATTCAATCATACTTCTCTCACCTGCCTTTTCAAGTCTCCTTCTGTGAGATGAGAACCAATACAATCTTTGGGGTTCACTTTCTCCAACTCTCCAACTTCTTCCACAGTTCGGTAGGACTTGAGCTTTATTTCCACTCTCCAGAGTTCATTCAATATGCCATTATATGAAAAGAATGCTAAATAAATTTTGCTTTTCTGTGGTTACAAAGAGGTTGTATCATATTTAGAATAGATTAACTCCTGGCAGGGAGGAAACTTACTGCGAAGTAGACAGAGATACAAGCACAATTTTCCATTTTGAATAGATAACTGGGGGGGGGCAGGGGGGAATCTGCCCATGGAGGCAATGGAAGCTGGCAGAAAATTCTCTATAGGAGGCTGTATCTCTCCAAGTAAAAAGAGATTGGTGGAGGTCCCAGGGATACAGAATCTCTGTTACTCAAAAATCTCCAGCATTCTTTTAGGATTCTCTCAAAGGAACTAGAATCTCCAGAAAATTGGAATCGGAAGCTCCTGACTATAAATAAAATGAAAAATAATGTATTGATGTCACCTTCCATACACAAACAGCCCTCCCTTGTGTTCTATTAATCATGTTAAGAAATGACACATTCTTAGCATCACATGTTGTTTCCCTTATAAGAGACTCTTGTCCAAGGAGACCCAACTCAAGTTGCTCATAAAGCTTTTTATAGAAACAATAAAACTCAAAATACCACTTCTGCCCAATGATGCCATATCATTTTCATCATGTATGCATAGGCAATTTGGAATTAACTCAGCATTTAATGGCTGACTCTAAAGCAGTGGTTCTCAACCTTTTTAATGCCGCAACCCCCAACTGGTCGTAAATTGAGGACTACCCAACCGATCGTAAGTCGAGGACTTTCCCTGCCCGGGAGTCCCGTGCATGCGTGGTGCCGCCTCTTGTGCCAGCCGAGGCGTAGCTGGCAAGCGGCAGAGATGGCGCAGGACGACCACCGGCTGGGCCACCAGCTGGCCCAGCCCAAGGGAGGTAAGGCACCCTTCAGGCTCCACGCATGCCAGCAACCCTTCCTGTGCCCGCCGGCCTCCTACCTCCCACCCCTGGCCCTCTTTTACTTACATTTTTAGTAGTTGCTCAGCAAGGAGGGGTGGAAACTTCCAGACAGCTCGCCTTCGCTGCAGACAACTTGCAGCACCGTTTGCAGAATGGGACTTTTGGCGGGCTCAGCAGGGCAGAGACAGCCTGGACAATTCCTATTGGCTTTTGAAAGCCAATAGAATTAGACTCTATTCAAGAGAGTCTATTCTATTGGCTTTCAAAAGCCAATAGAATAAAAGGGAGTAGCACAGCTAAGGAAAGGGGGAAAAAAATGGCGGACTGCATTGTTTGTCGACCCCCATGAAATGGTCATTCGACCCCAAATGGAGTCCCGACCCACAGGTTGAGAACCGCTGTTCTAAAGAAACATAATGGGGGAGGGGGAAGTATATGCTCTAATATACACATGGTGTTTTGTTTAAAGAGAATTAATGTGGTGTAATGCCTAAGATATTAGACTAGGAATGGGGACCACCAGGTCAAGTTCACCTTCAGCCATGGCAGCTGATGGGTGATCAGTCCAGCGTACCCTACAGGATTGCTTTTGTGGGGAAAAACTAGGAGAAGGGAGCAGTATGTACACCAGCTTGAATTCCTGTACAAAAGCCACAATCTAAATCAAGCCCATAAAATAAAAATAAATACATAAAATGACACATAGAAGTATTAAAAAATGCACCGTGTCATCCATGGCAAACTTTTTATTGTCTGTTATCCTGCTCCAAATAGGAAGTGATCTACCCAAATGCAGTAAAACATGTTTCCTACGTTGCTGACAAATTTATTGGCAGCATAAAAAAGGGCACTTTTTGAAACTCCAGAAATGTTTTGGATGTAATGGTGTCAAATACGTTTGCTATCATTCCAAAGACCAACCCAAATTCTTGAGAAGGTGAATCACACTGGGATTAAGCAGCTGCCCCACTTGCTAGAAACAAGGCAAAAAAGTTCACTGAGCCTCAAACCAAACAAAGCAGCAAACCTGCGTTTTTAAAAACAGTTCTCCCCAACTCACTTATAAAGCAAAGGATAAAAGGTATGTTGATGGGATTAGCTGAGATGCCTCTTGGCCATTAAAGCAGCATACTCCATTCCGTTTAATGTGGGGGCAGACCCTCACTTAAAGCTGCAGCTCTGCATGACATCTGTCATATTTATTGAAGAGCTCGACTCTGTGAAAAAAGGAAGCGTATCTAGAAACAGCAGTCCTGCCGTTTCTTTTCTTCACCAACAAACTGAACAAGCATATTGTTTGTTAATTGTTTGAATTTCCTCCCTTTCAGAAGGGGTGTGGAGTTAGGGAAATTTGGTATATAGCCAAATCAGTAGTTTGAGAAAAACGAAGTAAATGTTAGGAACTAAATAAATATTGCTTTCTTGCAATTTAGTGCCAAGGTGGATTGTCACACCATCTTCCCTAACTATTTTTAATTAACTTGCTAGTCTAGTATTCCTCCCTGGGATTTCCTTGTGGTCTCCCAACCAAGAGGAAACAAGGTGTCAGCCTCACTAGATAAACCTGACCTGAAAATCAACTCCACAGGAAGGCTAAAACTTCCTTTATTGAGAAGGGCTATAATCACAGCATCTTGCAAATCTGATATGGTATCCCTCCACCTTCTTCTTATATTCTAATGAATTGTGAGGTTTCTGTCCAAGCTACTTCCAAACATTAACTCATTGCTCTGCACTTAAAAAATGTTTTAGCCCGTCTGCCTAATAACAATAATTTCTATTTCTTATTTTCTACATAAAGTCTCTGCTTAGTTTGTCGACATCAGGAACAGGACTTATATTCCAAGGGCTTGGATAATGCAAGATTTGCTTGATGCAGAATACTGGAATCTTACAGACAAGCAAAGTTTTGACTTTGTCCTATCATATTTATATCCACTGGGAATAGAAAAAAATGATGGGAGGAAACCTCAATAAATAGCCTTCTGATGGATAGATGTTTTGTGATTGGCCACACCCAACATGGCAGTCATTTTGTAATGAAAAGCATTCTTCCTGTTATTGTTTGGTGAGAGTTCCTGATGTATTCTTAAAATTCAAAATATGTCCCTGAGCCCAGAAAGGTTGCCCATCCCAGATGGATAATTTGATCCATACTTTCAACAATAAATTCATGTGTCAAAATGAGCTCTTTGCACAAACAAATATTTCTTCACTTCTGTAAATCGACTTAACTGATAGAATCTGTTCATGAGGATATATTGAAGGAAACTTTTAAAATTCCATTTACAGGAAACTGGGAAGGAGAAAGTAGATAGATTTACTTATTCCTCCCAGATGTTGTGGGGATGCATCTGACAATTTCTGTAATGGCCATCGTTTTTTGATCTTAGGAGACTTGGAATCCTACAATATTTTGAAAGCTGTAAATTCAAGCTTCTCCTTCTCCTCCTCCTCCCCCTCCCCCCCTCCCCCTCTTCCTCCTCCTCCTTTTGATGCCACAGACTATATATGTTTATTCAATAGTTACAGTGGGGTTTATTCCCAAGAAAACTGTTTTAGCACTGTGGTGTAATGGCTTCCCCAGATGCTGGCTCAGACAACAAGGAAGGGCTGGCACTGGGGATTTTGGAAAGGACGTGGAGAAATATCTGGAGGATACAGGAGACTCCATGCTGGGAGTGGATGGGCAAAAGGAGGAGAGGAACATCGGAAAGGCCAGTGAATGAGCAGCTGGATGAACAGATGGCTGAAGAGGCAAGAGGTGAGATGCAGCTGCAGCCAGGAAGCATGAATGGACTGTCAGAGGAGCAGGGTAGAGAAGGGGCATAGCTGCATTTGGTCAATGGAGAGAAGGAGGAATTGCCTCTCCTGCCAGATCTCAGGGCATGTAGAGCCAAGTGCAGGAAGGCGCAACAGAGGTCTGCAAGGCTAGTTGCAAGAAGACAGCCATGCCCCTCCTAATGAGCTGCAGGGGCTGGTGCCTACTTAGCATGCAGGCTGGTGCCTACTTAGCATGCAGTGAAGCATTGTTGGAGGCAACCATTTGCTTTCCTGCCATGCATGTATTTTTACTTCATGGATTCCTGATTCTGGACCTGTGCCTTGTTTCCTCACCTGATGCTTGGACCTTGGATTTCATGCCTGGATTTTGGACTTGTACCTTGGCTTTGGATATCGTGCTTGGACTTTGGACTTCATGTTTAGATTTTCAGATCTGTGCCTTGACCTCAGATTTTATATTTGCCTGTTTGACCGTGCCTTGACTATGTGGACTCTAACTCATTTGGACTTTGCAGAAAGCCATTGGCCAGCAAGTTTCTTGCATATGGGACCTGAGGAATGATAATAGAGGCTTGTGTTGCTTAAATAAAGTGTTAAGACTCATTGGTGTGCGTGCATGGACGGGGACAGGACATTTAGTCTTAACTACATAAATTGAATAACAGAAATGCACTTAACCAGATGCCTATTGCTTTCATCTAAGCCAGTGGTTCTCAAACTTGGCAACTTTAAGATCTGTGGGTTTCAGCTTCCACAATTCCCAAACGCATTCCCAGATCCCAGATGCAGTAATAATAATGCAGTACCTATTTCCACCATTAAAGAGTTGCAATCCATATTTTTGTAAAGTTCCACATAAAACATATACTCCAAGTTTTCCCTCTTCCAAAAATTGCACAAAATTACTGGCAAAGTATAAATAAATGATTGGTAATTAAAATAATTAGGTCATTCTCATAATCATATTTAAAAGAGAAAAACACTGAGCCAAAGTGGCAAATTAAAACAGAAGAGTTGCATATTTGCTTTTTCAAATTATAATGGAACAAGATGAAAGGATATTTATTTGTTCATTCATTCATTTAGTAATCCAATTTATATGTCTACCCATCTATCAAAAAAAAAATTCTGGGCCAGCAAAGAAAATAAAAACACATTTATTAAAGAAAAAAATAAGAAACCAACTGAAACTGTATTATGGTTTGTCCAAAACACAAATTCATGAATAGATCAGGGTGGCTTTGGGACAGCTTTACCATAACATAAAAACTCTTTTTACAATAATGCATATCACCTATATGTTTTCCAAGGATTTCAAAGTAGCATATTTATAACTCTAATTTCTCTTAATGTTAATGGTATTAGATAAAACAAGCCTAAAAATCTTGATAAGGAGCCAAGATCTCAATTTTAGATCATTTTTCCCTACTGACTGAATTTTAAAATTATAATTATAAAAACAAAAATGAAAGTTATGCTGCTGGTAACAACATCACCATCGTGCAGAATAGCTTGATCTCTTTAGCATGCCATTTCAGACAAGGATTTGAATTCTCCGAAACAAAACGTATTATCTCAGCACTGCACAGCATCTGTTTAATATTTGAACATTAAAAATGGGAGAGGTGAATCCATTTCAGCTTTAGATTCTCTTTTCCAATGATCAGTACTGCTGTAAAGGAATATTGCCTTTCCAAGCAAAAGAGTAGCTCAGAAGAAATTGAATTTTAAAAGTGTGGAATAAGAGCTATTGATCCCAACCTTTCCAGATGTAAACTATTAACAATAAACATTTTTTTAACACCAGGCAGGGCTATTTGATCAATTAAAAATGAGGACATTTGGCTGCAAACATACCAAAATGGTTCCGACAGAATTCTTAATTTCACCTTGATTGTTCATTTTTAGGCTTGAGAAGATTCAGCCACATGTTTAAACAGGAAAAAAAGATTTTACTTTACTTTCACACATGCATTAAAAAAAAAAATCACAGTAAAGAAATTCCAATCCTGAAAGGCTGCATCTGTTGTGCCACAGTAAATGTTTGCCTACTTATTCTTAGGCAGTGTCTGTGGAGTAGCAGTATCAAAGCTGATGCATGAGCAACTGGACCAGGGGTCTTCAAACTTGGCAATTTTAAGACTTGTGGACTTCAGCTCCCAGAATTCCTCAGCCAGGCCAGACCCCTGCTCTTATCCAAACATCTTCTCAGCTTCTCTTCAGAGGTAAGACTTCCAGCACTTCACATTACACTGATTAGCTGCCACCTGGGAGAGCCGGCTGCTGCACAGAATCTCTGCATGTTGGTAGAGATGGCCAAGGATGTATTCAGGTTGAATTTGCTCAGAGGTAGATAGGGAGTTAGTCATTGGCTTTTGCAAAACTGAATTTGCAATTCTTGTTCAGTAGTTAGAGCTTAAATAGGCTTTCCTACTTCCAGCCAGTTACCTTCTTAATTCCTTGTGTAAAGGCTTTTAATTATTTCTCATGTATATTGCTTAGATATATCTTTGCTGTTGAATGGGAATTACAGGGTATCATTGAAACTTATTCACCAATATATTTTTAGTCTCTTTTTTAAACTGATGAATGGTATGTTTATAATGAGAAATAAACCTCACTGAGTTCAGTGAGATTTGCCCCCAGCTAAGTCAGTACATGCTTACAGCCTAAGCAACTTGCACAATCCCAAAGGTTTGTCTTGCATAATTTCTGTTGAAAAGATTGATAAAATTCCAGATTAGAAGAAATTGTTATTGGAGGGCAAAGAAAAAAGAGTAATTATCATACTTTCTATTTATTGGTTTATTGTTTACAAAAATCAATTGTCATTTCACTTTCACTGATTTTAAAGTAGCTTGATTCAAAATTTCCTGTGGAGCAAATTCCAACATATTTTTGTCCACACAGCATTACTTTCTCATTATATAGATAACTGTGTTTAGTTATCCATATAATGTGGTACTTTGTGGTACTTTTTCTTCTTCCATATTTATTAATTCAAATATTAAGCAGACAATAGGGTAGAGTTGTAGATTATTGGCTTCTATGCACAGGACCATAGCTTGTTTACTGAAATAGATGTCTCTGTAGCTGCCACCACAACTGGATCACCACCAGTTCTATACAGTATCAAAACTGTGAAGCAAGGATTCTTGCATGGAGGTCATGTGTGTGTATGTGTGTGTGTGTGTGTGTGTGTGTGTGTGTGTGAGAGAGAGAGAGAGAGAGAGAGAGAGAGAGAGAGAGAGAGAGAGAGAGGAGTAATATCCAAAATAAAGTATAGTTGTATTTCATTGTTAATGCCTTTCAGGTGAGCCAAAATAATTCTCTCAAGCAGTATGGTACTCATGAAATCATGGAGGTCCAGGTTTGGTCCAGTCACCAAACAACATTCTTCCTTTCAAAATGTGATCACATCTCCTGTCAACATCTCCTGTACCTGATTGCTTCATGGGCCATCTCTTCAATTGGCTTTTCTCCTCCCTCTTATCCAGGGGTCTTCAAACTTGGCCCTTTTATGACTTGTGGACTTCAACTCCCAGAATTCCTCAGCCAGGCCAGATCCCTGCTCTTATCCAAGCATCTTCTCAGCTTCTTTTCAGAGGTAAGACTTTCAGCACTTCACATTACACTGATTTAGCTGCCACCTGGGAGAGCCAGGTTTTCCACCCTTTTGATTGTCCTTTATTTGGCCTGACAGAAAACATTGGGATGGTATGAGTTAACTGCCTGGAAGTCAACATATAAAATGGTTAAATTGATATTTGTTTGGCTTCCTACTCAAACAAAGTTTGTCAAGGCTTATAGAGACCCATTATTAATATATGTTAATAATATGCAAAGGAGCAAATGGCTGAAAAGAGCAGTTTGGCCTCTATCTGACTTGTCCCTACATTTTTAGCTGTTAACCTGATCCTGCAGGAAGAGTCAATATGGCAGCTACAACTGACTTAAGCCCAATCCATTAACAAGAGGTATCTTTTTCTTCTTCTTCCTGTGCCATATCCGTTATTGGACATTGGCGATCATGTTGGCAATCCTGTTTTTATCAGCAGCTGCACGAAAAAGTGCTGCGGAGTTTTGTCCAAATCAATCCCTTAGATTTTGAAGCCACGGTGTTCTTCTTCTGCCTGGACCTTGTTTGCCTTCACTCTTTCCCTGGAGGATTAAATGGAGTATGTGTCTAGCCTACTTCAATACATTAAAATATGACACAGATGTGAGCAAATAAAACAATAAGCTGCTGAAGTTTATTGTTTATAAACAGCTCCTAATGAATTAATGCAATCGTTTAAGACATCAGGCTAGACACTAAAAGACTGTGAGTTGGACCAGTCATTCTCTCTCAACACCAGGAAGAAAACTGTGGCAAAACACTTCCAGAATCTTCCCAGGAAAACTACAGAAACTAGCCCAGGAAGTCACCAGAAGTCAGTACTGATTTGAGGGCATGCATGCACACAAAAAGATAGTAATCATTGATCCTTGTGTTTGTTACTGTAGATCTGTTTTTTCCATGGAGTGAAGGTTCTACTTTTCCTTTCTTCCTTTTTCATATGTTTACGGCTGCCCATCTCATGAAAACTTGACTCCCCCCCCCCCAGCTATTTTTCCAGAATCTGTTTTACTATATATTCCAAGAAATAGTTCAATGATGAGACCATCAATTATTTGTTGACAGAAAAGTGGTTCATATGGTACACTTTGCAGCAGCTTTAATTGACCAAGTTTAGTTGTGAAACTTCTTGGATTGCCATTCTGAATTCTTTTAAGAAGAATATGCTTGGAAACAACTCAAAGATCATGATTGGTTGTGAAGCTTTCTGCCAAATTAATCTCTTCTTTTAATTCTTCTCCAAAAGAGATGGCTCCCTTCCCACTGTGTTCTTTTGTTTTGAAAAATGCTTAAAGTGGTTTAAGGAAAACATCAATACTTTGTCAAAAAGGTTTGCAGACATCTAACATTTTAACATCAATTCCTTCTTCCTAACTGACTTAGGTGGATATGTTACTCAGCTTTCAAGGAGAGAAAATAAAAGGATTTTAGAAAATTATATCAACGAGGTAATCATGTTTAGATTCTCTCAACACTTCTATATTATTACCTTTCCAGGAGCAATAATAAGAAAGGTAAGATAAGGAAGATTTTTTCAATGAGAGGGAAGCATTGAAATTTTGGGAAACACATGCTATACCAAATGTGTTAACCTTTAAAGTCACAGGAGATGGCAGTACTTGACTAATGTAAGCTAAGTAGGATTAGACATGATTCATTCCTGGATGGGAGTTCAACAGGAAATGCTTCAACTGAAAGATAGATTGGTTACTTGAAACATCCATCCAGGGAAAGGTGATGGTAACTATATTTATACTGCTGCCAAGAAAATTTCAAAGCTGTGTTACCTGTAATCACCAGGAGTCAAGTTTAGCTAAGTCTTTGGAGGCCATTAAGTTGGGGAAGGCTGGGATGAATGTACATCTAACTTCCCTCATCCTGCTTCTGAGCCTCAAATAGACCCAGGATATATTCATAGAATGTTTCCCAGTTGCAATGTATGGCTGTGAAAGTTGGACCATAAGAAAGGCTGAGCGCCAAAGAACTGAGGCCTTTGAACTATGATGCTGGAGAAGACTCCTGCAAGTCCCCTGGACTGCAAGGTGATCAAACTGATCAGTCCTAGAGGAGATCAACCCTGACTGCTTTTTAGAAGGCCAGATCCTGAATTTGAAACTCAAGTACTTCGGCCGCCTAATGAGAAGGAAGGGCTCACTGGAGAAGAGCCTAATGCTGGGAAAGATTGAGGGCAACAGAAGAAGGAGACGACAGAGAACGAGGTGGCTGGATGGAGTCACTGAAGCAGAAGATGGTAGAGGACAGGAAGGCCTGGAGGAATGTTGTCCATAGCGTCATGATGGGTCAGACACGACTTTGCAACTAACAACAACAACAACAACACATTCATAAAAAATAAGCCCAGTGTTTGGCAGCATGCCCATTTGCCCAGAAAAACAGACATATCCTAGCATCAGATGGCTTCAAATGGAGATTGAAAACTGGGAACTCCAGCAATATTTGCATCAGTGGTGATTAGGTACTGTATCTGTCCATTTACTTTCCCTAATGGCTAATGCTTTCCTGCTATGCATAAGATCTTACCCATAAGATGCTCCTCCTGCTTAAATTGCTGATGGTATATAGCCTTCATTAACATCTGAATGTTGATTCATTGATTAAAATCTTGTTCTTCACCATCTCCTCTGCTTTTTCACTTTTTCTTGTCTTCTTCCCTAACAAAAATCAGACAGTATGAACTTCAGTGGGAAAAGTTGTTGTTTGTCTCTTTGAAAGGTCACATGATTGACTTACAACCCATTCATTTAGTGACTGTTCAAAGTTACAACGGCACTGAAAAAAGTGACTTATGACTGTTTTTTGCACTTATGACCATTGCAGCATCCCCATGGTCACATGATCAAAATTCAGAGGCTTGGTAAGTGGTTCATGTTTATGACAGTTGCAGTATCCTGGGGTCATGTGATCCGTTTTTGCGACCTTCTGAGAAGCAAAGTGAACGGGGAAGCCAGTTTCACTTAACAACTATGTTATTAACTTAACAACTGCAGTAATTCATTTAATAACTGTGGCAAGTAAGGTCATAAAATGGGGCAAAACTCACTTAACAAATGTCTCGCTTAGCAACAGGAATTTTAGGCTCAATTGTGGTCCTAAGTCGAGAACTACCTGTATGTAAAATGAAGATAACCAGAAATAACTATAGTACATTTGTTAAGTACTATTGGCAGAGCAATAAAATTGATCTGGGGAGTGTAATCATTTTCAAGCTGAGCACAAACCAGCAGGGGGATATAGCTGAACAACAAAAACGGGGCGAAAAGTTGAATGTGAGATTAGTATTAACAGAACCATAGTTCCCAAGTTATGAGTTGGACTTTATCTTAGGAATATCTTGTGTGATGGTCCTAGGCATCAGTATGGCTCCCAGATATCTCCCTACTCTAGTTGATATTATTATTTTTTTTTTAAAAAAAAAAACCTCTTTTCATGCATTTAAATGAATACATGAGAAAGAAGCTGATACAGTGCAAAGTAAAGCACTAATGTCTAGCGTCGTATTTATTTGTAGCAAAGACACTGGATTCTACAGAGATCCCATTGGGATGGCAGAGAGTGGGTGTTCATTTAGCTTTTGGTAAATGGATGTTTTGTGACTAGCCCTACTTATCATGACAACTACTTCGTAAACAGGCAACCATTTGGTGAGTGTAACCATCACATGTCCCAGTCCAAAGAGTCTAACCCCGTGGTGGCGAACCTATGGCACGCATGCCACAGGTGGCACGCAGAGCCCTCACTGTGGGCACATGCACCGTTGCCCCCGTCTTAGGCCTTCAGCTAGGTTTTATAAAACCTTTTCGCTTTAGGCTTCCATAGCCATGTGCAAAAAAAAAAAAAAAGTTTCAATCAATCAATTTCAACTTCTTGCAGGAAAAAAAAAGATCTTGCAAAGTTGGAATTGATTGATTGAACTTTTTAGTCCCACCCAGTCTGCCGTTACCACCGCAGCCATGCCCACCCAATGGGCCATGCCCATCCAATTGGCCACAGTCACCCAATGGGCCACGTCCACCCGGCACCCGACGATACATAAGTGGGTTTTTGGTTGCAGTTTGGGCACTTGGTCTCTAAAAGGTTTGCCATCACTGGTCTAACCCATGACTTGGAAAAACTGGACCTTTTTTTTCAGATGTCATATAAGGTGGATAGCCCTAATTTCTGTGTTGTCCATAGCACTCTGAACACACAGAAACAATCTATGTTTCTTTCACACTATTCTCTCTGTCCATGAGAAACCTAACATCCAATGCAAACCAGATGTGGTTGTGTAAATTGCACAAAAACATTGATGATTTTCATGGAACTTACTGTAAAGGTGATAGTTCAGGCAACATTCCAGATTTCATGCCCAGGGAATCAACCAACAGATACCTTTTAAAAGGAAAGGAAAGGGGGGGGGGAAACACATTTTGCCTCATCATCTATTTTTCTAAAGTTAATAAAATAGGAAAAATCTGGAAAAGTGGCTGTTAATGAATAACGACAAGTCATTTCCTGTGGTCTTAAAACAGACCATCAATTACAGGCAGCCTTTTAAATTCTACAGGCTAAAAAACGGAATTCAATATCGTTCAGCTGGTTGTGTATTGCTGAGTGATTTGCAATGTGGGTAGAAAAAATAATGCATTTTTAAAAAGAAGAAAATAAATTCCAGCCTAATCCTTTATCTGCATAATAGTACAGTATCATACAATTGACCATTTTGCTAAAATTATGGTGTGCTAAAACCTTCTACTATATATATTTTCTCTTTCTATATAAGCGGTTCTCAACCTATGGGTCGCGACCCCATTTGGGGTCGATCGACCATTTCACGGGGTCGCCAAGCAAGGCTGTCCGCTATTTTTTTCCCCTTTTCCAGTGGGTGCCTTACCTCTCTTGGGCTAAGCCAGCTGGTGGCCCAGCCGGTGGTCAGCCTGCTTCGTCTCTGCTGCTTGCCAGCTACGCCTCGGCCGGCGCAGGGGGCA